TGTGAGACCCCTTGGAGGATCTGGTTTCCTTTATTGCACTGCAAAAAATCTGCTTTTGCTTTCCAAAACCCTCCTGCAAATTCGTTCCGGGCTCCAGCGCTTCTGCTCAGTCACGTTGCAAATCCAGCTGTGGCCAATGATGGAAAATGTGCGAGGCTTCAGCCCCCTAAACTCACCTTTGGTGTCCAAAGCTCTCCCTCCAGCTGTCTGTGGTGAGGGGTAGGGGTGAATCCTGCCAGCTCTGCCTCCATCCTCTCCTCCCAAGACCCTCCAGCTCCTGCTCCATGCAGAGCTCCAGCCCTGGTACCAGCAGCTGGAAGCTGCAAGCAGCTCAGCTCCATCCTAGGAAGCAAAATGGAACCTAAGCCTGGCAGATAATTAAACCTCTAGCTTAAAGAGACTGATGAATGTGCTAATAAACAGCAACAGTTGTGAATTAGGGGGTGCAACATCTAACCTGTRCTTAGCAAGGAGCTGCATACAACTGCCTCCCTGCAAGGCACCTGGAGCAGATAGGAGAAAGGGGCTCCCAGCCCAAAGCCTCATCCAGCTCAGGATGCTCTGCTGGCAGGACGTTCCTATCTCCCTGGTGGACAGTGTGGGATGTCCCTGTCCTCCAGTCTGCAGGGTCTTGCCCAGATCCCAGCRAGGCTGAGGAAAAAGTCATCCTGGAAAACAAGCCCTGGGCTGAATGGCTCCAGGCACGTGGTTTTGGGGAAGATTTGAGAGTCATAGTCAGGCCTGGCTGTGTTTGGAGGCTGGCAGGAAGACAGGAGCACGGCAGGAGCAAGTCTAACAGGGAAATGTGGGGTCTTGGTGCAGGGTCAGCCCCCTCTCTGCTGTCTGAGGCTGCAAAGGCCTGATTCTAATAACAAACCAAATTCCCCTTTTTCCAGCTCAAAACCACTACTGCTGCTCTTGGTTTCCTGGTCTGAAACAGGGATGGGATGCAGCCAGCCCATCCCAAGGCCCTGTGGCTTTTGGATCAGCCGTGYGTACAAGCCACGATGGCCCCTGCTCAGCACACAGGTCCCTCCAGCCCCACGTGCCAGGCAGGACCTGCTCTGGTTTGCAGCTGGGCTCAGGTTTCTCCCCGCTTTTCCAGAGTGAATTCCTCCTAGGAACAAGCCCGTCAGCAAATTCTTCAGGAAACGGTTGCAGCTGTGTGCAGGAGGGAAGCGGGTTTCTCGGGCCGGCCCTAAGGAGAGCTGGCTGGGTGACGAGGGACACTGTGGTCACCAGGTGCTCAGCAGTCCATCCCCATCCCATCCATGTGGCCTCCGGAGCACCCGGCCCTATGAGCAGCCCCATGGAGCACCCAGCTCCCAGCCCCATCCAACCCGCAGACCTGTCTCCTCCCCACAGCTCCTGCGCAGGCTGAGGAGGCTCCTGGGTGCTGCTGAAGGGCGAGAGGCACCATCCTGCTTCCCAGCTCCCGCTTCTCCGTCCTCTCAGGGCTCCGTTCCCACCACCTCCCTTTGGATCCGCACCAAATACGGCTCCGCTCCTTGCACAGAGGAGCCCCTCRACTTTTTTTCCACCAGCCCCGTCCAAGAGCAGGTCGTATAAACCAGGGCCAGGAACCAAGACCCGGCAGCGGGGGCCGCATTCCTGGGTCGCTCCGGGGACCGTCGGGATAAGTCCCCGCTCTGTGCGTGCCCGTCAGCTGACACGGCCCTGCCAACTTTGACACGTGGGGGCCAGCTTGGCGCTTCCCACCACACTGCCACATGCCAGGCGCTCCGGCAGCAAACGGGAGCTATTCCAGGCTTGGTGGGATGGGGTCCCCAGCCCGGCTGCTGCCCCAACATTGACAGGAAAAGGGGTGATGTTACTTGGGAAGGACACGTGCCTCCTCCTCCTCTCCCCTGTGTGGATGGGGGGCATGAAGGGGGGAAGCAAAGCARCACATCCCACACGTTGGAGCACACCGGAGACCTCCCCAAGGCAGGAGCCCCACTACAGCACAGGGGCTCMTGAGGCCTGGGGGACACCAGACCCCTGAAGTTGCTCTGGGGAGTCCGGGAACCCTGAATCTCCCTCCCAGCCCTTCCGCAGGCRTTTGGGCCACGGCACTGTGGTGCCTCCAGGCAGAAAGGCAGCGCGGGGACCTGCGCCAGCCGCAGACAAGCCCAGTCAGGGGAAAAGGCCTCCTTTCCCCTCTGCCTCCCCCTCGCCAATGCCTTTAGTGCCCAGGCGGGTGCCAGAGCCCCCAGGATCTGAGCCAAAACGGGGGAACCGCCCCGCTGGGGAGCGGACTCACAGCCAGGGAACTGGGGGAGTCGGTCCGGGAATCGGGCTGAGCCAGGCCTAGGGCTCCCCGCACCCTCTGCCCCTTCTCGGCCGGGGGATTTAGGGGGGATTTTGCCCTCCAGGAGCCCCGGCGAGGCGCAGGCAGGAGGCGCCGGGGTCTCTGCTGCCACCTCCAGGGCACTGCTGGCCTCGTCCCCGGCCCCTCGCTGTGTCACACGGAGCCGTCGCGGTGCCCCTGGCCGGGGCTGGCCCTGCAGCGCCTGGCCACGCCAGCCCCGGCACCCCAAAACGCCGCCCGTGCACCCGCCGCAAGGCACTGCCCCCRTCCCAGGCAGGATCGGGCCTGGGCACGCTGGGAACATCCAGGGCACCCTGGATGAGGCTGCTCGTCGTGCTCTGGGTGCCTGTCCCCAGCATGGGAGCTCAGGAGGGAGCTGCCAGCCCTCCTGCACCCACTGTCCCCCCAACCCTCTCTGCCTCCAGCTTCTGCTCAGACTGGACCCAAACATGGGGTGCAAGGGACACCCCGTCCCTCCCCAGTCCTGGGACACGAGGCTCTGCCCAAGWCGGCTCCATCTGCCAGCCCTGTGTAGGATGCAGGAGCCGGGGAAGGTCACCCAGCGCCCATGCCAGGGACCTGGCACCCCCCACACCCCACCGGGGATGCTAAATGGGGAGGGGGATCCTGCTCACCATCCCTGCAAGACGCTGCCCATTTCCAGGCATCATTAAAGAGCAATTAGCTGGAAATTAAGCTGAGAACAAGTATTGATTGGCTCATTAAGGCTGGGGGAGCCGGCTGCGGTGGTAGGAATTGCTGCCACTCGCCCTCATTACAGGCAAGGTTAAAGCTTGTGGTCGGGCGGCTCATTAAAAATGCTGGGGACCAATCGATGCCCCCAGCCCCGCGCCCCCCACCTTGGGKGCTGCCCTGTGACCTCTGGTGTGAGCTCAGGGGGGGACTGCGGCCTCCCGGGCCCTGGGGTGCTCGTGAACCCCTCCAAAATTCACCACTCGGGGGCTGCTCCCCAGGCAGGGATGAGTTTGTCAGGTCTCAGGGCCAGCTTTCAGCGGGCGCGGGRAGCTAGGAAGGGTGAAGGAGGGGCCTTGGGAATGGGATGAAAACATGGGCAGATGTGGAGATGGGATGAAGGCGGGTGGAGATGCACAGCAGAGCCCCCCATGCAGAAGACCCCGAGCCCCCCAGCTCCTGGTGTTCTGGGCACCAGGTCAGACCCAGCTGCAGAGCCCCGCTGTCCCCATCCCGCATCCGCCACCTGCCTCCATCCCGTCCCCGTCTCCGGCTCTCCCGCAAGGAGAGAGGCGTGTGCAGGCTGACAGGGGGAGCAGCGAAGGGGTGTCATCATTGTTTTTGTTTTCCTCGCACCACCCTGGAAATATATTGTATTCTCGGCTAATCCCGTTCAATTACAGCACAATAAAACACATAATAAAAACGTAATTCATTTTTCCCGAGCGCTCCATCTCCCCGCGTCTTGGCAAGCTATTAAAAATTTGTCTTCATTTTTCTGGCAAGAGCCTTGTACCTTTTCATCTTTAATTTATGAGAGCAGAATAGCGATTGACAAGCCCTTATTGCGCGGCGCGGGGCTGCATTATTTATAAGCTGCCAGGGCCTGGCTCGGGGGACAACCGTGYGATACGCCGGGGCTGGCAGGAGGCAGGGGTTCCTGGGCACCCCATGGGCTCCCCGAGCGGGCACAGGGCGCAGGCACCCTCAGAGCCAGCCTCGGCGGGAGAGCAGAGCCTGGGGACAGGACGGGAGAGAGGGGCACCAATCTGGTGCTGGAGATGAGTCGGGATGTTCAGAAGAGCCGGGATATGGGACAGCAGTGAGGGGAAACTGAGGCAGCCGGGTGCATGGGGAAGCACCCGGCACATGTTCCTCACCTGGTCCCAGAGGCCGGCGTCAGGCAGCCTGGGCAGCTGCCCGGCCTTGGCTTTGCAAGTCCCTGCTTTGCTGCCCCCTTCGCTGTGCACCCTGCAGGCGCRGGGGCCGTTCGGAGGGTGTCTGCTCCCATCCCTCCTCTCCCTGACCGGCCACCCATGGATCTCTCGTGGTCCTGGCACGACGCCGAGGAGGGCACAGCCGCTGCCGCGGGCCGGCAAACGCCCTCCCACGGCCACGTGCAGCCAGAAAGCRGCTTAAAAATAACGCGGCCGGAGCAGCGGCCACACAGGATGCAGATTTATCCGGACGCAGATTGAAGCCGAGCGCCCTGCGCGCCCGCGGCATGCGGGGGTGGGAGCGAGAGTGCCCGCRGAGGTGCCTCCCCAAAGCGGCTGTGCTAAAAAAAGCCTCCCGCCAGCTGGATGTGCCCGAGCGCGCGGGGAGGAGCTGCCGGGGCAGCTGCAAAGGCAGCGGGCTGGAAAAGAGGGCAAGGGCGACGCAGCCCGCGCGGGGCGCCGGCGCTCACCACGCGTCCCCCRGTCTCGGTTTCATACAAAGCACCTGCTTTTATTATTTGGTATATGTATGTTATACATGGTGTGTATATCAAAAGTAACTGGGGGAAAGAACGGTTTGGTTAAAGCCAGGGGAGGGAGGCCCTCTGAAAGCAGGCGCTGCAAAGAGAGCAGCCCTGCGCAGGGAGAGCGGCCCCCGGCACGGATGACATTGGGAAGGGAAGAAAGCGGGGCTGTTTGCAGAGATTAAAATGTGCAATTTGCTCTGGTGACAGGAGGCCAGAAAGCCAGATTAAATCAGTGCTCTGGAATAACCCACAGAGGAGAGGCCGGGGCAGCTGCAACCATGCACCCGGGGTAGGAGAGAGGTTGCTGGGTGCATCCAACATCACCCTGGCTTTTCTTTGGAGGAAGAGGAAGATGTTTTGTTCCTGTGGAGTTTCTCTCCATCCCTACGGAGCAGCAGCCAGGCTGTGGGGCACCGGCGAGTCCAGCCCTGMGGCTCGGTGGACACTGGGTTCAAACCTGGAGCGCCAGCCATGGCGCTGCATCGATCCCTGCTGCTTCCTGCTTTCCCAGCAACCCTGCACTGACCTTGGAAACTCAGTGCGTTCGTGGTGGCACCTCCTCGCCCAACGGCATCTCCATCCCTGGCTGCACCGGCCCCTCGCCAGCCTGCGCCGTGGGATGGAGCAGCTAAGAGCTCCCAGGAAGCACCCAGGGGTGCAGAGCAAGGAGGATCCCCGCATCCCGCTCCAAGGAGCTGCCCGGGTTTGTTCGGGAAGGACCAGCACAGGGGTCTGCGTCACTACCTACACACCAGGCGCTGGGACCTATGGACACACGAGAGCCAAGGGGAAGCAGCGGCGGCTCCGGAGGGCATCCTCGGGGCCAAGGGCAGCGGGCACTGCTTCAGAGCCCCTTGTTGAAGTAGACGAGCTCCACACCGGCAGCTTCCTCCCGGATCCGGGCTTGCAGGGACGGCTCCAGGCGGCTCACGTGCATGGAGCTGGGGGTAACGGGGGCTCAGGGCCGGGCACGGGCGAGCGGCCCTGCTGCCCACCCGCACACTTACCTTTTCTGCGGGAAGAGCGCGCAGCACAGCGGCGTGGCGAACACCAGGCTGCAAGGCACGACCAGGCAGGCCGTGAGGGGCGTCCCCAGGATGCGGCACCCCGCGGCGCCCCGCAAAGAGCCTTACCAGAGTCCCACAAGGCCGACCTGCAGCGGCGCGTTGAGGTAGGGGTAGCGCTGCGGGGAGAGCGTCGCGTCAGCGCGGGGCCGTCGGCGCCCGCCGCGCCGCGTTGCACCGTCCCCACCGCGTCCAGCCTCACCTTGAGGAACGCCCTCTTCTCCAGCGCGTTCATGATCACCGGYGGGATGGCTGGGGTGCAGGAGGGGGCCGTGAGCACCCGCGGGTGCCCGGGGCCCGCGCCGCGCGCCGCCGCACTCACCCATGGCCGGCGCTGCCATGCCGATGCGCGACACCACCACCTGGAAGATGGCCTTGCGCGCCGCCGCTGCCGACTCGCCCAGGCGGTTGCCGTTCTCGTCCGTGACGGGGATGCCCAGCTTCAGCTCCCTGCGTGGGTGGAGAGGGGCCYGGAGCGAGCCGCTCGGACGGGGCACCGGGGGATGGCGCAGCGCCCCGGTGCCCCTCGCCAAGGAGGAGAAATAGGMTGGAGATCAAGTCCACACTTTGGGGGGGATCTCGAGGCTGGATGGGGCCCCCTAAACCAAACCACCTCCATGCTTCGGGGTGGGGGACCCCGATGGGTGAGGAAGGAGCCCTGCAAAGCCCAGCGCCGCCCGGACCCACCTCTGCCTCATCAGCGGGATGTTGATGCAGTTGGCGGCAGCTACGGCGGCGAAGGGCACGTAGCGGCCAATGATGGCCGGCAAGTGCTGGGCGAGAAGAGGGGCACGTCACAAAATTCCTTTGGGGTCAGGGCTGGCTGTCCCCAGCTTTGCCATCAGGTCCCGTAGTATCCCAGGGTGTCCCTCCCCTCAGCTCCCAGCCCGGAGGGAGTTGGACCCCAGTGATGGTCTCAGCAGGACCATGAGCCAACGATGGCCAAAGGGGCCTTACCTTGGTGAGAGATTTGAGCCCCAAGGCGGTGACAACGGCGCCCGTGGTGGCACTCACATAGGCGGTTCCCAGCTGGCTGCAAGGGCAGGAGGGGACAGTGGTGAGCCGGGTCCCCACRGGCCAGTTTTGTGCCTTCCCCACTGCATCTGCCACCACAGCTCACGGCTGGCCACCATCGAAGAAGCTCCTTGCGATGGACAAGGGGCTCCGCCGAATCTGCCAGCATTTTGGGGGTGCTGAGGCGAGGGGGCTCACCTGGGGGTGATGGGTGCATCCCCGCTACGGTTGGTGTAGTTGACGATGGCGTTGAAGGACTGGTTCACCCACTGCCAGAAGAGCACAGCYGGCGTGGTCCTGCCAGGGGCACGGCATCACCAGGGTCTCCTACCCCACCACGGGGGTGGGACGCTCGCCCTCCTGCGCCCCAGGGGCTTTCAGGGGCCGGGTGAGCAGGAGGTACCTGTAGAAGGTCAGCATGCAGCCAGTGATGGTCATGTTCATGGGCACCTGGGCCGACATGCGCCCGATGAGCAGCATCTTCTCGCCCGTGTCGGGGTGGAAAGCCGAGTCGTAGATGTAYTTGGCCCGCCAGAGCTGGTCCTCCGTGAGCCCGGGGGGCACCGTGCCCGCCCTGCGGGGCACAGAAATGGTCAGACCCCCAGCTGCCTGCCCTGTAGCTCCGCACCCCAGTGCCATGGGGCATCAGCAGCCAGTTTTGGTTGCTGGTGATGGGCCAAGGGCAGGGGGTGCAGGTCCCCAAAACAGCAGGGACAAGCCACCTACATGCAGGCCCACCACAAGGACACAGGCCCCCAAAACCACCCCCCTCCGGCCCCCAGTCCAAAGTTGGCTGCTGGTGCCCCATGGCACTGGGGTGCAGAGGTGTCCCCCATGGCCCCCGTCCCTGTCCCCGCGCACCGGTAGCTCTCCACGACGCGCCGGGCCTCCTCCAGCGCCGCCCCGGACAGCAGCAGGTTGCGCGGGTCCGTCACCGTGAAGAAGTGCCTGGCCCGGCCCTGGAAGGTGCTCTGGTCCCAGCGGGGCTCCCGGATGTTGATGGTGGCMGGCAGGGAGGGTGCCATTCTCTGGGGACAGGGCGGGGGGAGAAAGTAGGGGAGGACCCTAGTGTCCCCCACACCTTTTGGGGGGGCAGATTTCACCCAACCCCAGGGGTGCAGAGGAGCTGGGGGGATCCTGCTTCACAATCGTGCTGAGTGGGGACCCAAAGGATTAGGGGAACCATAGAGCTGATCCCCAACATTCAACACCCCACATATACCAGCGAGGAGCCCCAAACCTGGCTGGCACCAGAAGACACCCCCAGCACCCTAACTTAGAGGCTTGGGCTCCCAAAGAGGATGGGGTCGGGGGGTCATAAGGGAAATGGGGTGTGCAGGGACCCCAAGAGGGGCTGGGGATGGGTGGTAAGGGCACCAAAAAGAAAGACCTGGCCTCAAGGCACAGAAAATCACAGCCCCTTCCGCAGGCGCTGCTTCCCGCAGCCGCCGCTTCCTCCCCGGCACTTCCCGCGCTGCCGCTGCTGCCTTCAGCCCCAGCCCTGGCTGGGGGGGGGTTAATCCGCCCACGCCGGACCCCCCCCACCAGCTGTGACTGCCCCCCCCGCCAGCCCAGCACCCATGGGGCCCTCGCCGGGGTGTCAAGCGGGTGACAAGGGGCCCTTTTTGATCCCATGGAGGGGGGGTGCAACTTGTGCCAGGGGGTCAGTGTCCCCCCCAGCTTGTGCCCCCAATATGTCCAATCCTCTCTTCTCCCGAAAACTCCCCGGGACGCCCGAACACGGGTGTCCCCACCCATGGCCCCGTGACATTCCCGTGGGGTGAGTCACCCCCCCCCC